GGGTGGGGGTTGGTGGAAAAATATGTGGCCGGCTGGGCTCGTCCTCTGCTTTTCTTCAAAATGCCGCTCAGGACACGCATCTTGTCTTGGCTCGGCCCCCTCGCGCCTTTCATTGACATGTCAAGTGCTGATAACCTGGAAGTGAGGCGGCGAGCTATTTCATTATCCTTAGGTGGAAGAGTGCTGTGTCCTCAAAGTGACAAGTGACTTCTGGTACGATTGTTTAGCGGGCTTCTGAAAACAAACAAAAAAAGCAGCGGAGGTGTTCGTGTTTACCACGGTAGTCCTTAAATTACTTGCGGTATTTTCCTTGCAGTTCTGTCATCGGTAACAGAAAAACAAAACAAAAATCAGCAACTTCATGCTCCTTGAAGTGGTGATATGTGTTTGATTCCTCTGTGGGTTGAGTGAAAGCAAGATGTGTTTCTAAAACTCATTTAAATAAAAACTCCAAAACCCAAATTATGGATTTGTAAGTGGCTTCTCAAGCTTAAGTGTTATAGGTATGAACCCCTGTGTGCTTCTGCTGTGAACCAGCGTTGGGGTTTTTTTCGTCTGAGGAAAATATTCTCCTGCGTACTCTATGCAGTTTGCTTAGGAGATGAGGATGTTGCACAATATGTCTCGAAAGAGGGAAAACTACAAACCCCACCCTGAACTCCCAAGCAAGAGCTGGAATGCACAGTTCTATTTGTGTGTTGGAGAAGTGCTTGAAAAGGGGAGTAACCTGTGCTCAGGAGAATGTCAGTTTTGTGTTATGAAGTACCCATGCTTTTTCCTTTTTGTGTCTCGAACAGTTTAAAGCTAGAATGTGAAAAACTGGCCAGTGAGAAGACAGAGATGCAGCGACATTATGTCATGGTAAGCAAGCTGCATAACAAATTCAAAATGTCTATTAGCTTGGTATACTGAGACCGAAATACATTCGGATTGCTGGAGGCGAACAGAAAGATTGTAGTAGCGCTGCTGTTGTTGAGGTTGCATCAGTGCTTCCGTTATAAATCCGTAGTTTCAGGGGTTTATAACTTGTTGGCAGCAGTTAGTTTCCGTGCAAAACCTGCTTTTTAACCTTTTAAGCGATTGGGGATATTTCTTCCGAATGCTAGCAGATTACTTGTCAGCCCTTTAAAGCCGTGTACAACTTTCCTAGCGTACCTGGGGATGATGTTTTCACTTTTGCTGACTTCTCCCAATGATCATATCTCCGTAAAACGGTTAGGGATAATATTTTTTTCTATGATGGGAGTAAGCCAAAAATGTACATGTACGCATACAAACCTGAAGCCTACTTCCTAGAAGAACTGTTGCACCTGGGCAGCCGGTTCATTGTTTCACTAAATTCAGAATGGTAGGGATCTCGGCTGTGAAGGGGATTTCCTCAATGGTTGTGGTCTGCCTGGTTAAATAATGTGCATAGGAAGACATCTCTAAATACATAATTGCGTGATGGATCATGGTAACTCCAGAGGAGCTCTTGCTATGTGCTCTCTTGTACATCTATGACGGATTAGCCGTTTTCCATCTGTACGTGACAAATAACACCCTTGTATTTACAAAAAGAGTAAATAACCTTGAAAAATCTTAACCAAGAGCACAAGCAAATGTTAAGGCTTGCAGTTGTCTTTTTCATGCCTGATACAACTAAGTCTTGGAGATTGTTTGGTACTAACATTACACACTGAACTGAGTTCGCCGCAATCCTCAGGCACCACAGGACATACTTAGATTATGTATCTGCTTTGGCTCTGAATTTCCATGCTCTTTCATTTTTTGCATCCCTGCAATTTAACTGCGGGTTTTTTGTGTTTTTAATTTAAAATATTGAATAACCGGTCTGTTAGACATTGCTGATTTATATGTGTCTGGCTTCAAGCACTTTGGGCGGGTTTTTTGGCATCTTTTATGTGTGCTAGGGAATAAAATCTTGAGCGTTTTCTGTGTGGCTTTTTTTCTGCTTCTAATCTTTAACTCTGGTTGTGATTACTTTTCATGATTTTTTTTGTTGCCTGTTTTTTTCCTTGTTTTATGGCTGTTCTTTGTAAATTTGACATGAAGCAATGTAGATAAAGAAAAAAACAAAAAAAGCAAAAAAAAAAAAGGTTCCTGTGAAATGCTTTTTCGAATTCCAGGAGCTCTTCAAGGCCAATAAACGTTTTTAGGTCTGTATGTCTTTGTACAGATGATGTTTGAGTCAAAGTGAATTTTGGAATGGTTTTCACAATTGCAAGGTCTAATAGAGTCATCTTCTTCTTTCTTAGTATTACGAGATGTCCTATGGGCTGAATATAGAGATGCATAAACAGGTAGGTAGATAATTTGTTTTGTGTAAGAATGCTCTGTGTAATTTCTCCCATCAGTCTTAAAACAGATCTGTATTCTGTGTGACTTGCTTTAATTGCATACTTGAGTGCATTGGAAATTTTTTTGTACTTAACCTGGCCCTGAAACTTCCATCTTGTGTATGGTGTATGGGCTTTGCGTAGGTTACGGTCTTGGCTACCGGTTGTGCATTATTCGGTTGACTTTCCATATGCAGTCTCCTCATGTGCAAGTGGTCCTGTACTGCACGGGGAGGGTGTATGTGAGTAGGGATGGGTATGTGGGTTGTACCTTCAGATCTGTCTGACCTCGAACCTTTGGGGTTTACATTTTGGGATGATAGCTACATCACGAATGCATATTAGGTGTCGAGGGATTTGTATTTGCAAGTGGAAAAGACTGTTCTCTTCGGTTAACCTGGACTGATTTAAGCTGGAGCTACAAAAGCAATTGATGCACAGCCATGTTTCTGTTTCCCTCAGGCTGCTTACTCGGACCTTTGTCCAAAACCAGTGTCTTAGCATCTCAAACACGAAAGAGTAAATGAGCTTTCTGCGAGGATGATAGCATGCTTGTTTTTGTGCCTTGAAATCTAGCACTTAGGCCAAGATTAGCAGGAGATTAGTCAGAAGGAGCATGGTAGTGTAAATCGGAGTTTCTTATTCGGTAATGTGTGGTTTTAACCTTCTCTAGGGGAGAATGAATTAAACATCTGACCTCTTTTCCAGTGAGAGAACTTTTTATGTGGTGGAGTTTAATACTGACAACTCATTTTAGCAAACGGTTGAGCAATTCGCCAGCATTGCTGGGGAGTGTAAACTGCAGAAACAAAGAAATGGTTGGATGGGAGAAGAAGGACTATCTGAAAGTTGGTTTGTACGCGTTTCTGTTCAGAGTTAGGGATTTGGAACTTCTCTGGGTTGTGGAAATAGGATTTCTTTATCTTGTTGAGAGCAGACATACAAGTGAAATGTTTTTTCATGTTATTTGTTATTCATTGTATTTTGTATTCCATTAGCATCCCAATGCCACAGTACTGATTAGGGCCATTTGCACTAGATGGCATACAAATCTGAAGACGGTGGGATTTCCTGCCTCAGAGCATTTTGCGTCCGCAGCTCCAAACTTATGGGACCTTGTACGTACATGTTATTTTACAGACATATACCTAGACCTGTTGAATTTAGATGTTCTCCTCACAGGTACCGTGAAGACTCAACAGGTGCATTTAATGAATGGTTGAGAGGAAAAGGCTGTGATTGCAGCTGATCAGATTGTACGTACGTGGTGACTCTGGACCCAATTCAGGTCACGGGTGCTGGTGGAAAAACTGGTCACTGACTCTTGGAGGTGTTGGGTCTGTTCTCAAATGAATAGCCAGATTGTTTCAGGTGCCATTTAAAAAACCAGAAAAAACAAAACAAAAACCCAAAACAAAAAAAACCCCAATCAGTAAAGCAGTAGATATGGAAACAATTCACAAAGACTAGAGTCCTTATAGGCCACCTACGTAGCAAATTCTTATAGGAGTTTGAAAGCAAGCATCGCAGTCAAACTTGTTCATATTTCTAGGTACCCAGTTTTTACAGCAGTTAGTTATATGTAGACTTACACTGACTGCGTAAAATTCTGTGGGACAAAATCAGCTTGCAAGTGCAGTGTGTAATTAAACTGTATTAAGTAGGGGGGAAAAAACCCACATTGAAAGCCCTTTTAATTTCTAAATGCTTTACTTCAGAAATTGTATACAGTTATGGTGATGGAGTTGTCAGTGATATTCTGGAGAAATTAAATACTTAGTTACACCTAAGTGTGGGGATTAAAAAAGGACTAGGTTTTAATTACACACCTTTTTCCATTAGTGTTCAGTCTGTTCAAATTATTAGTTTAAGTATCATACTCTCATGCAAAACACTTAAATATTTTGTCAGATGTTGGTTCAAATTAGCTGCGGCTAAGAAACTTGTTTGCTATCATTTAAATCTGATATATCAATTTCATATCTCTCATGTCTCCCTTCTATTGCCCCAGCGTGTTTTTTTTTTTTTTTTTTCCTTTCTCCTTTTGCTCCAGCAACTGCAAAATACTTCCCATCTTGCTTTATGATCACAGCACTAGGGTCCAATTTGGTATATTATATAGATAGCGTCGATTGCTTCATTTGAACTATAAAAAATCCTGAGGGCAGTTTATCACATTATGAAATACAGACAGCCCTGCAAACCACCTACTTATTATATTTTCTTTCTTTTTTTCACTTTAGCACAGAGGCATATCTGTCTTTATTTGTTTTTCTGGGCAGACAGCCTTGGTTCCTCTCAGGTTCTTTTCCAGATGTACTCGCTGGATGCCCTTGTAATGGAAAGCAGGCAATAATGCAGTGAAGTTGCCCTTCGGCGTAATTGGGCCTAGTTCTCAAGATCAGGTTAGGCTTATTCACTTATTAGATTTGCGTCTCAAAGGGTTCAAGAGCAGGACTCCCTGGAGTCCTTGGAAGTACCCTAGTAATTGGTGGCCCTGATATTGGAAACCTTTGTGTATTTTTCTGTTAAAGCTTCTGTTCTTCTTGGCTGCTCCCAGCCACAGAGTATTTATTTTTAGAGAAATTTTTCACTGGAACAGAAAATGATGGCTGTGATGGAGTCATGACTCTGTGACTTAGCAAATTGATAAAAGGATAAATGCGCAGAGAGCAGCGGTAGTGAGTGTGCCTGTGTGTCTGGGGGGGGAGAGGGGGGAAGAGCATCTCTTTTCCCACCCCTCGTGTGATGCTCATCATCAGTCATCCTGTGTTGATTTTGATAGAAGACTATTAAAGTGAAACCTATGGGGAATTTGTCATTCTGAAAGGAAAGCTAATGTAATTAGTACCAATTAAAGTACATTTAGTAAATTGGATTTAATCTTAATTAAGCCTGCATAATGTTGCCAATTTTTAACAATTATGTTTGAGAACATAATTAATTTAAATTTTGGTAACTGAGTAAATAGCATTATACTGGTAGAATTAGTCATTTGTATTTTTTTTTAAAGACAAGTGTGGGGTATATTGTGACATGTGGTGTTACAGCCTAAAATAGTAAGTTAATTTTTGATTTTCTGTTCTAGGATCAATAGAGCTTCAAAATAGACACATTCCAAAAAAAAGGCATTGAGTTGAGGGGTTTTGGGTTGCATTATGAACAGATACTTCCCTACAGTTTTAAATTTCAATATTAGCATAAATATGAATGTTTGAGTGTGGTCTGAAGATTCTTACCCATTTCTTACTAAGTTGCTTTTTTAACATTTGTTTTTAAGAGGCTCAGTGGATAGTTTATGAATGAAGAGTTGACATGCTGCTCTGTGTTTCTAATATACTGTTGCTACTTGGTGGTGGTGGTGATTTGTTTTAATTTCTGAAATTAGGCTGTTTTAATGTTATGGTAAACAGTTTATTTAAATTGCTGTAATCAAACATGCTTGCTGAAGGTTTTAATTCAGAATGGTAATTATCGCTTAAAATAAGTGTCTGTATTTGGCTACAGACAACATATTTGTGAATGGGACTGATGGAAGGCATAAATAGGATACAGCATGCACTTTTTACTTCAGTTAAGTTTTTTGGAGGTGGCAATATGTAAATTCTGAGTCACTCTTTTTGGTTAGACCTCTGTCTTTGAGCTAACTCACATGCTAGAATGTTGGGTTTCAGCATTTTTGAAAGAAAATTCAGATCTTTTAAGAAGCTGAGTATTAAAAATTAAATGAAATGACTTTTTAAGATCACAGTAAAAAAAAAAAAAAAATCAGTCCAATCCATGTAAATTTTATTACAAGACTTGGGCAACAAGCATTTGAGTGCTGCTAAAATATTAATTGGATAGAAATGAAAGGGTTCTGCTAGCTGATAGGATATCATAATCATAGCTGCAGTAGTCGATGGTAAATGATGATAAATGGCATTAGGAACCTTTTAGCAAACTGTAATAACTACGAGGAGGGAAGCAGTATGGATTTGCATTATATCTGATACCCTCTAGTACCAAGTGGATTGCCAATACTGCTTGTTTAGCATTTTCTGAGGGCAATAGGATATTGATTTCTGACTTACAAGGAACGGCTCTATTTTCACCATTGAAAAGTATTGCAGGTTGTTAAGAAGAAATTGACTTGAAGAGGCCTGACTGCTGCCCATCATGGAGCAAATAAAGCAAAACTGCCGAAGCATGGTGGAGCAGCGAGATGGGGCCCTCAGCAATTTGTTGCTATTAATTTACCATGCTCGACAGCAAATCAATCGGCATCTACTTCATCTGCTGGAGAAAATGCTGTCCAGGGCAGATAAAAGGCCCTGCGTGGTACAGGGAATAGACTGGATTGGCCAAACGGAGGCTGCAGTTAATGTGTAAGTAAGTGAAATCAAGGCCACTGTTGCCGAGAAAGCTGTTTTTAATTAGGTTGGGGCTTTATAGTGAGCTATTTAAGAAAGTAGTATGGAGAGTAAGGGGAGATTTATTGCTGACTTGAGTTAATATATGGGCTGTACGACATCCCAGCCCTGAGTTTGCTTGCTTCTTAAGCCTTAGTAAATTATTTTGGTAAAGGGGTAAAGATGGGAATCAATTTGTTTAATTTAGGGCAGAGTTTTGACCGTTTTTCATCTTCATGGCCATAAAACACATATATCACAGAGAATTGGTTTGTATATGCGCTGTGTAATGGAAAAATACTCTTTTTTTTTTTTTTTTTTGGCAATGGTCTGGGCTTGGTGTGAATGTGTGTGCATGCATGTGTGCACTTTTTTTTTTTAACACAGTCAGTAGTTGAGAGTATATTGTCTTCCGTTCGAAGAATAGCTGGAAAGCCAGCTAAAATTATACCAGTTGAATTTGTTCTCCATTATAAACAGTAGGAAAGATTTAATAGAGATATAGGCAGTGGGTAGTCAGAACTGAACTGGAAAACTTCAAAATGAGAGAGATTAGAAGTGAAATTTTGAAGG